TTTGTTGCACTGTAGTAGTTGTTACATTTACTTTTATTAGGTTATTATGTATGACACCTCTATTAGGTTTTACCTTAAATTGTCCTTGGGCAGACACACACACCGTTTAGCACACATTATGTAAAAAGTAGTAATTAGTGCAGTTTCCATTGCAAACGAATAGATATTTAGTGCACTACGCACCAGAACAGGCAACACAAATTGAAGTGCTAATGTTCGTCACAATAAAAGTCACCCTTGTAAATCGGACAATTATTTTTACGATTAACATCCGAGTTAAAAATCTGAAATGAGTAAACTATGCCCATCATATGTTCGAAGGTCATGTCTTCAAAACACTCGTCAAAAACACTTTGTCTGGCCTATAATCCATAACAAATATATTGATATATATGCATTTTCAAATGATATTTAACTACAGAGAAGTTACCTTGATGAATGGGTCAAACCGTTCATCGATATCATTTTCACTTGATTACATTACACTACATGTCACTTGTTAGACGCTTTTATCCAAAGCGACTTACATACTCAGTACTGTGGACAATCACCACAGGAGCAATTTGGGGTGAAGTCTCTTGCCCAGGGACACAACGACATGCTGACTGCAGTGGGGTTTAAACCTGTGCCCCCCTGATCTGAACCACAACGCACAACCCACTGCGTCACACGCCCCCCCACTTGATGAGACTATATCATGCTTAAGCTACATGGTCAACAGAACGACAATAACATGATTCCATTGTTGGTTTCAAAGGTATGTCCTCATCTCTATAAATATATGTTTAGTTTTTTCCAATGTGGTTATCTGTTTTAGTTGTTCTTGTGCTAAAAGAAGCACATTAGCATGTGGCAGTCGTGAAGTACATCGCTGCCAATGATTTCACACTTCACACAAAACACTAAATGTAAACAGTAACTTTGTTTGTATACAAGAAAACTCCACATGGTACCTCTTACTCTTTTCGTGGGATTTTATGACACATAGAAAAATATAGAACATTGCCAGCCATATCCCATTACACTACATTTGTGGACTCACAAGCTTCATCTTGTTCAACCCATACTAAATCACACATCATTTGGTTCAAGGGTTGTCAGGGGAATTTCTATATTGGAAACAGGATACTAGACTGCAAGACATCATTTAATTGGAATCTCTGCATCATTTGGAAGGAAGAATCAAGGGGCTCTTTTAGGGTCGTCACAAATATCTACCCACTCTGAGTGTCTGACATATTTTATCACTCACCGGTGTATTACACTCCAGGCAACACGGACAGTCGTCTGAAATAAACATCTCTATCATCTCTCCCCAGTCTGTCAGAGACCATACAGATGGGTTGCAGATTTTCTTGATTTCCCTTAAAAGCCCCAAATTGGTCACAACCTTCAGTGCTCCTTTGAGAGAGACTATGAATAAGACCGGGGGGAGGAGAGGAGAGGAAAAACCTTGCTGTCATGAAAAGAGCCGCTTCCTGGCTGGCTAGATGCAATCATGACCACTATCTGATAGCGCCGGAGGAAATTGGATGAGCTGAGAGCCTTTGGCTGCCAGTGATGGGAAAGATGACTCTTTTGTCACTGTGTCAGTCAATTCCATACTCTCACCTGAGAGACCAATCAATAACAGCGGGGAAGAGAGGTTTTCTCTGGTCTATAGCCCTCTGCTGTGGGCGGCTGTCAATGATGTGCTGTAAAACATCCTCTGCGTCATAGGGATGAGGAATGGCTTATGTTTTATGGTCCGCATAAATATGTCATGGATGTGGTTAAATGCGATGTTTTTGTAGATTTAGAAGTATGCTTTTAATAAATTATGAAATGTTGGAAGGTAACGACGCTCTCTGTAATTACAAGAAGAAACCATTAATATTTCACACATGGTTTTAACAATTTTATTTGTGGGATTATTTTCTGTGTGTATGTCTACATCTAAAAAAGACTTGGATTTTGGCACTGGTTGTAATGAATGTTGTCTCATCTTTGCTGCTCGCAAGTGGTGCAACTGCTCTCATTAGCAACTGCATCATTAGCTGTGCAATTATAGTGCATAAAACCCAGAGAGACCAATAACTATCAGTTGCTCTCAGGGCATGTAGTATTACATCAGGCATGGAGGACAATTCGCTTGATGTAGGAACCCAGACTCTCACTGAATGATTCATGACCGTGATAGCGGGCAGGCATCGTGAGATTAACATTATTCTTTGCTCAATATGGCTGGGCTTTGTAAGGTGATGCTAAACTGTTCTTTCCTTTCTTCCCCCACCTGCAGTTCCCTAATACCTGTGAGGAGTCTGCTTCCCCATTCGTCTTCATCTGCACCAATGCCCAGGAGATGCTGGTGAAATTCCCCATGAAAGGGAAGCACAAGATCTGTAAGTCCTACTCATTTAATGTAAAATGAAGTGGATACCATTAGCATATTCAAAATAAGGGTGTTCTTTTATCATTTATTATCAGCTATCTAATCTGCATGCATGTGCACCCACACATACACAAATGAGCCTGCAAAAGTGAAGGACTGATCACTAGGCACAGGGTCTGATTACGATGTGTTCATTAATAAAACAAAATCACAAACACATAGAGTGTACTCCCACATACTCGTGTACAGATCCTCTCTGAGAGCCATCTATAAAGACAGGGTTTTTCTGTCAGGTTGCCTGGGGGACAAGCTAGGCCTGGATGTGCAATGTTGTTGCTGTATTGTGTGATTTATAATAGGACTCAAATGCATTTTCCCTTTGCTGCCAGTGCTGCTGCTGCAAAATGATGTACCAACAAGCTCTTTTGTTGATATTTCAAAAGCATCTGGAGACTATAGAGGATTTTTTAATGCAGTCGACCTACAGAGATCTCTTTCAGATCTTACTCGTCGATTCAGAAAGGCTTTTAAATAAATGGAGATTCTGACCTTTTGCAATTGTTTTGAAAATATGGAACATATAAAAACGTTTGAGAAGTTTAGGACTAACTTGCCAGGGAAAACTGTTTCAGATGTTTAGCAGTGAAGTTAAGTTTGATTATTGATATACGATGTCTAAGAAGTATGTAAATACTGTAAAAGTCTTTGTCTCGGGTTTGGAGGATATCAATATGTTCCACTTTCCTTCTACTCTAGATTTGTTGTGAAAAAACAGGCCACTCATGACGCCTCTCATTTTATTTTGAAGTATTTTGTGTTTATACATTTCAATCTAACTGGCAGTACCATGGTCTTGAATAAAAAGCTGTACTTGATGAAACCTGCTGACACATTGTTACAGGCTGGCGTAGGCACAGATTGCTGTATGGAATCTTTACTCGCAACATTTAAACCTACAGCAGCCTGTGCACCTGGTGGTTTAGTAAATATGGCTTTGTTTGAACTTGTTTTTCGTAAATTGAATACCATGAATAAGGGATACCTTCCGCCTGTTACTTTTACTTATCTCAGAATTTCACCATGGGGACAAATAATAAGCTCTCCATTTTTGTTATTCTTTAAAAGAAGATGATGCAGTATCAAATACATTGCATTTATACTATCTATATATAATTTAAACCGGCAATACCTTCAAATATGTCATCTTAATTCTTCTGTAATTTCCTTCAAAACGGTATTGGCTCAAACAGCCTAACAGCGTTGTAACAGTGCTGGCTCTATGTCGTGTAATCTGATACTTATTCTTAGCCAGACATAAACACACATACCATCCCACAACTGTTCAGCGTGCAGCCTGGAGACAGCTGTTCTTATTTTAGTTGTACTAAGATTAAAATAAGAAGCCTTAAATAATGTAACGCATTCACATTTACAAACATGGACAAACCCCTGCAAACGGAGACCGGAGCCAGTTGATGATTCTGTACATACTACACTGCGTGAAACACAATATGTAATTAAAAAACCAGACTGATTTTTAGCATTGGTGTCCCAAGTCAAATTACCTAAAAAGTATTTCAGATTATAACAAATTAGCAAAAGAAATGTGGGCTAGGATGTTTTCACTTAAAAAGCTATTTTTTTATTATAGCTATTGTTTTTACGTCTCATCGCATCCTGCATGTGTGCAAAATTGCATGCTTCTGTCATGTAGTGTGCATTGATTGGTTTTGTAACAGTGCTGGCTCTATGTCATGTAATTTGATACTTATTCTCTGACACACACACACACACACACACACACACACACACACACACACACACACACACACACACACACACACACACACACACTGCTGCTCATATTTGAGTTAAACTCACAGTAAACATCCTGACATAAGCAACCCAACAACCCTTACATAATGTAACAAATTCACATTTAAAAGCATTGATAAACCAATACAAATGCGCAGAGACATTTGATAGTTCTTTACATTCTAGACTGGGTGATGGAAAACATGTAATTCAAGAAGCAGGGATATCTTCAGAATTGGGGTCCATTTACAAATGTCGAATCGAATAATAAGAATGAAGATTATAACAAATTTGCTAAATGGGTGAGGGTTATTTCAATGAATGAGATATCTGTTTATAATACACATCATCCTTCCCTCACTCACCATGTCTCGTGTGCATTGATCCCGCCTTTCCCCCTGTGGTCCACATTAGTCCGGTCTTTGGATCAGATATCCTGACCCACTGGACCTACACAGTCCAGCCTGTCTGATTCCTCTGTCACCAGCTAGCTTTTCACTATCTCACTCTCTTGCTCTCTCGTCCCCTCTTCCACCTCAATTCCCACTGCATCTCACGGGTCAAGGCATTGCCGCTCATCTTACTCAGGGGGGCTTAGCACAAGTATTTTTTGCTCCCCCGGCAGCTTACATCGACAAGTTCCTCTTGTCGCTGGCGTTGCCAACCATCTCATGCCTCGTCAGAATGAGCAAAGGCTAGTTCCCTGGATTGTTACCCTTACTTTCCGCTTCAATACAAACCATGCTCAATTGTTGTTTCATTTTATTAGCGTTGAACATTCATGTGTTAGAAAGTGCCTATAGGGTAATGTGTACAAATGGAAATGTGTGGCTGCTTTGATTGTTTCATCAAGCAAGTTCTGCAAACGTGTTGTGTTGTATGTGATAGCTGTGATTACTCTCTAAATATTAGGTTGTCAAATGCTAGCTGGAGTTTTTAGTCCAAGCTTTCCTTATTTATTATTCATTTAAATCCCCATTAGCTGTTACCTTGGCAGCAACCACTCTTCCTGCGGTCAATTTAGGAAATGCACACAGTTAAAATGCTTACACAGAACTGCTTTTATCTCCACATATTACATCTCTCTATTATTGTTAAGTAACATTTACACAAAACACAATGTAAAAAAACACTCAAGTGAACATTCATTTGTTACTCTGGTGATGAAACATATTTTGCTCTAATTGCCTCGCAAGTTATTGCTGTTGTTGTTCTGAGGCTCTCCTGCATTTGTGCTTGATTTGAAGCTGCTTATGTTTTTATGTGAATAGGGATGAGGACGAATGAGCTGAGAGCGGACTGATTCTGCAGTCTTGTGTTTTTGCTCTTTTCTGTGGGATCTGCAGTACTAGCAGACCCTTTTCCTTACTGCTAGTGTCAGAATATTGCATCTTACAGCAATGGAAGCCTGAAAGGAAAGGGAGCACACCCACAAATGGAGGAACATTATTGGATGCATTTAGCAGTTATCAAATGATGCTGCTTCTCTCTCCAGACCGTTTTACCGTTGGCTTTGTAGACTATATGCTAGGCTGTGCTCGATACAGTTTGATCATTCATTTCCCTGTGGAGGAGCCTGTGACATTTAAAATGGCATAAAGCCAAGGCTCACTCCCTGTAATAAGGGAGGTGCATTATGGTTTATGGTCACATCCTGTAATAATTTGTATCTGTGTGTGTGCGCGTGCTTCTGTGTAAGCTGAAGGTCAGTCTGGGTGTTGAAAGCTATTTGGCTCCTGATATAAAGCCACATTTCCTTTTTCTCTTCTTTATAGCTATCCTTCCCTTGCAGCATATTTTTTATGGACCGACACCCCCAGTATGATGTGGCTATGTAGACACAGCTAGTTTGTACATACCCACATAGTAAAAATGAAGCACAAATCATATACCGCTATATTTAAAGCTCTAGTAGAAGTGCCAAACTGACTGGACCATTTTTCAAAAACAATTACATAACCTCAGCTGATTCTGAAGATGCTGTCAAATTAAATGCTAAAATTGATCATTATAACAGCAAGTTCAAATGACCTAATTAACTGATTTTGAAGATTATTGAGAGGTTGGTGTTCTTTGGTCGCAGTGGACAGTGTGTTATCTTGAAGCATGAGATTTATGACCTCTTGGCCCCAAACCAGTTGGAAGCCTCACAATTAGCCACCGAACATGTTTCATTTTATGACTAGAATCTGAACCTGATCCTCAAGTCTGGCAGAGATCTGAGACTGGTGTAGTCTATTTAACAAGTTTAAATCTTTGTCACGTTAAATTTAATCAGTTAGGCTTAACTTGGATTCTTTGTTGAATTTTTGTAGAACTTTGAATCAGTGGTAACATGCTGTGGCTGCTGTTCCTGAATGAGCTTCAAGCTACTTTCTGTTCTGCAGAACAAAGCATGAGGTAACCTGAGAATTATGTTTGACCTTCCTATTATGACGCCTCCCATGAATTAAAATCCTATTGCTTCCGAGCATGAAGGGTGGATACCCAGAGTAATGTTCCGTGAGTGAATCAAATGGCTTTAAGCATTGTTGAGAGATTGCTCGACCAGTAAGAAAAAAACAGTACAAAACTCTTCAACAGCCACTCTCATTTCAACTGACTAAGCTCTGAATCAGAAAAAAGAAGTTCAGCAGTTCAAGTATTCACAACGGTTGATAAGCTTAAAGCATCTAATGCCTTTTGTTCTGTCTTGCGATCATTTGACAGGCTTCTAAGAAATGTAATCGCACTTCATAAAATACAGCTCTCGAGAGTGCATTTGTTCTACAAAGATTCATCCATTATAGAAACAAAAACAGAATGTCCTTAAGCAGTGGTAGAAGAAAAAAGGTTATATCCAGCTCTTCACTTATTTTGGCGCTGAATGTATAACTCTTGTGATATGACATATGAATTCAGTGAGGGCTTTGTGAGTACTGGCTTATCTTTTCTACAAAGATTAGTCACTGTGATGGCTCTCCAGCAGCTACAAAAGAACTCTCTTTCTGAGGTTGGATCCAACTGCAGGAAAGGAAGTCATGGATATAATTGCTAAGATGAAAAATTCCGCTGCAGCTGCAGGTCATGATGAGATCTTTTTTATCTCTCCCAAGTCATTGACATATATAATCTCCAAATCACCGGAGACTGGAGTCATTTCAAAGGACCTCAAGGTCGACAAAGTAGTTGTCCTGTCTTAAGCCCAAGGCGCCA